GAGCTGACTGCACTGATATCTGCCAATGTTTTGTGTGTCCCTTTTTCTGGTCTTGAACCAGGTTATGCTGCACTTCCCTAATGCTGGCACTGAAGGTTTGCATGCTTCCACAGCAAAGAAATAATTCTGCTACTTGTGCCATGTTTTGCATCATTTTACCATCCTTCTCTTCGTGCAGTTGAATGCAGCCTGTAGAGAACAGCAATATTAGAAAGCTAGCATTAGATCACTGCCAAATGAAATGTCAACAGAAGGTACACGCATCACTTCCATCCAATCGTACGCTGCCTGCTCAGCATCCGGCTGCCAATATTTGGGATGCTGCCACAGAGAGCAATAGGAGTTCAGGCTGCTTCTTGGTTTGCCTTCCTTCTTAGTCACTGGGATGACTGCTGTTCCCAAGTCTCTGGGTGTGCCACGTTCTCTGAAGAAGGGAAAGTCTGCTATTACAGACTCAGTATGACGATTTTCCCAAATGGGGATGGGTGCTGGGAACATAAATAAAACTCCCAAATTATGCAAGTGAAGGAGAGTTCATCTGAGTTAACTGCCAACAATGAAGTGGTTTTACTGTCTCTGATTATTATAATCCTATCAGTCAACAGACCCAGGCCATCTGAACATGCTGCATCATTTGCATTTCCACGCTGGCTATTTTCTTCAGCTATTTTCTTTTCTCTGCTCCATCCTCACTATTTCCCCCCAGGCACAAACAGCAAGTGAAGAGGGAAAAAAGGACGATAAATTAGAAAAGCACAGGGAGAGGCCAGGCGCTAAGGGACTGTCACTCAGAAAGCCTGTTCTTTCCATCAGACTGACACATTATAGGCACAGATCCCACATTCGTTGGTGTGAGCCACAGATCTGCTCTGTCACTTGGCTGGGGGCCCTGACTGGCCATCCTCAGCGATGCCCCCAGGGCACACGCTACAGCTAAGCTTTAAAGTGAGGAGAGAAAGAGTTTAAAGCAATAAATTCCCAAAGTTTCCTTTATTCCTCAGGCAGCTTGAATGAAATTAAGGTTTTACTTCTATGAATGCAAAATAGGCAGGAAGCGATACACTATGTGAACGCTCTTTGTTTGCAAATTCACAGTATGTTTAAACTTATGGGGCTGCACCTCAGCTGGTGAAAATCTGGAAAACCCTCCAAGGCTGAGTGGATGTCTGCCAGCTGGAGACAGGCTCCCTTCCGCTGCTGCTTTCTGCTTTTTTCATATCTGCTCGTTGATCAACAGCGAGCACGCAACCAGAGCCCAGAGCATGGCACAGAATCAAATAAAATTGTATCAAAAATTAAATTATAACAGGAGAATAAATATTTCTGAGTATGGACATAATGATGCATCAAATGGATGGATACCAGGATTAAATTCCTTTAAATATAGAGATTTGAGGAAAATTTTTCAGCTCCCAAATTATTTTCTTTGGTAACAGCTGGTTAAATACTCCTGTGCAACTGATACAATGAGTTTATACAGTTATTTCCAGATTTTTTTTTTTTTTTAGGAACATAGTTGCAAAAATGGTTTTAAAAATAATTTAATATTCTTCTGAAAAGAGAATAGTTCTAAAAGCCAGTGGGATGAATCTTGTCACTCTCAAGCAGCCCTCAAGAGTGACAGAATATCTATGCCCATCCATACGCCTCTCTAGCAAAGGCAGTGTACGATAAATAAAGAAGTTAAACCAAAGCAAATTATCAGCAGACAAAATTTTTAAAGGTATAGGGATTTTTTAGTAAAGTGTTTGAATGAAGTTTAGGTACAGACACCATCAAGGAAAACCTGTGCTGCATTTTTTTTTCCCATGTCACAGATGGGCAAGTGCTGATAAATGGTAAAAAAAAAAATCTTTCAGGTCAATATGAAAAGACTAAGTATTGATTTCTAAATCCCACCTATCAGTCAAGATTTAAATGATTCACCTCACTCTTCCTCCTCTTTGTGCTTTAAGAAAAATGACTGTAGACTCAGAAAACATTGATAAGGCTATAAAGATAAGTTAGACAAACAAGGAAGGAGAGGGGACATTTATATTTTTAAAATATTGCCTCTGTGATATGTACTGGTGCATTTACAGGTCACGAATCCCGAGGCTGGACTGTCATCAGTGTGAAACACATCAAAGTTCTGGAGCCGTTGGCGTGGCTCAGGAGCTGGGTCCCAGCTCTCCAGCGCCAGAGGGCTGCAGCAGTGGCTGGAAGGGCGGACCAAAAGGTGGACCCGCGGG